ATATTACAAGTCAAAAGGGTAATGATGAACCAAAGAAACGTATTTCGAGTATATATACATGTCTTTATTTCATACAATTCAGTAAAAAATACAACATAGCAAGTATGATGACAGAAGAAACATACACACATACACATTACAAAATATATATTATATTATATATATATCTATTTTACATCACTAGCGGTCTCTCTTGTTTGTAAAGTATGTGTGTATATATATATATATATATATATATATATATATATATATATATATATATATATATATATATATATATATATATATATATATATATATATATTATGCAAGAAATCTAGCAAAAACTGCTGAAAGATTGCCTGAGTGCGTTCGTGTTCAACGCATGAGAGGCGATTATCGACTCTCATGTGTTGAAAACAATGCGCTTAGTTCAGTTTTAAATTTCTTTGTGGTTTATGGAGAGTGAGTGGTGTGTGAGAGATTGAGTGAGAGTGAGAGAGAGTCAATGTGTGTGAGAGAGAGAGTGTGTGAGAGAGAGAGAGTGTGTGAGAGAGAGTTAGTGTGTGAGAGAGTGTGAGAGAGAGAGTTAGTGTGTGAGAGAGAGAGTGTGAGAGAGAGTTAGTGTGTGAGAGTGTGAGAGAGAGAGTGACAAACACAGGAGGACAACCACCTCGGGGGGAAACCGCAGTGCCAATGCCATCTGTCAACAGGGGGAGCTATTATTGTGCCCAGTTTCTTTCAAAATATAAAATAATAATCATAACACTAGACTATTATGTACAGTTTGTTTTGTTATTAACAGGATATGTTTCAGGTGACATGATATTGATTTATTCCACCGTCGATTAGATAAGAAAATCTGTTGTCGACGATTTTTGGAAGTACGTGGAGGAGAGAAAGAGGGAGAGTGAGTGAGAGAGAGAGAGAGAGAGAGAGAGAGAGAGAGAGAGAGAGAGAGAGAGAGAGAGAGAGAGAGAGAGAGAGAGAGAGAGAGAGGGTGAGGAAGAGAGAGAGAGAATGAGGGAGGAAGAAAGAGATAGAGAGAGAGGGGAAGAAAAACATTAATTTTTTTATTGCAGCGGTAGCTTAAAATGCTAAAAATTAATAAATGCACAATTCAATCACAAAAAACGTGATATATCTATAAGAAAATATTGAAGCTATGCAATGGTATCGAATTTGCGTTCGTGGACTCCATCATGGTCCAGTCGGTAGTGCGTGTGCCTCAGGAGTCGAGGGACACGTGTTCGATCTCATCTTATTGCCTCAGTGTTTTCTCAAATTAATAAATGTTGCAGACAGTTTGACTAGAAGCTCAAAAAACCCATTCACTTGGTTATGTTCACACAGAGAGGAAGTGAACTATTGGTAGTTAACTGTGTTAACTCGGACTAATGACGTAACCAACACTAGTGACGCCACCAACGCAAATGATGTCACCAATGCTAGTGATGTCACCAACGCTAATTAGAGCTGCACTCATTGATATATTGCGTTGATGAGAAGGAGAACCGAGTCAAGCTTTGAAGTGTTCCAGCAAGACTCATAAGAAGCACTTTGTAGCACCCAGCCAGACATCATGTAGCACTCCGAAGCCTCCAGCCAGACACTAAGGAACACTGAAGCCTCCAGCCAGACACAGACTTCTTTGCCTCCTCCAGATTAACTCAGAACATGATTGATAGAGATCTTCCACATATAAAAAAAAACAAAGTTGATGTAAGGAGTGGGAGAGAAATTAATCGCAGGCATTAGTCTCTCACTCGTGAACCAATTCCCTGACTAATTTATATCACAGATAAATCACAGGAGCCGCCCTACACTAGGGGTCAGGTCGGTAATCAAGTGAACCCAGCACGAGCAAACCTCAAAATAGACAAATAAAAATTTGGAAGGGGGAGGACCCCAAAAAACACACAACATAACTACATCCAAGTGGGCACATGTTGGGCAAACGACGTTGATTTAACGTTGAATCAACGTCTATTCAACGTTACTCTAGCATGTTTTGCCTGCTATGAATGTAATTTTTTACTTTTATTACAACGTTGTCGTTACATTGTGTGTTTCCAGGGGCACGGGTTGTGAATGAGGGAGGAACGGAAACACAAAGACTTGTGGAAGCACTTTCTGTGACAACATTATGAACGACGATAGAGGGATGGCATCCAAGCAAACATACTACATAACCACAGCATTATCGATTACTAATTTTATGTTGTTACAATGTTGTAATAAACCTTGTCGTTATGTTCGGTGCTTGCAGGGGATGGGAGAGCGTACACAAACACACACACACACACATGCTGAAGCTCTTGAGGTACTTGTGAGATGAGCTTCTTCGGTAAGCATAAGTTTTGGCAACACCCCATTTTGCTGTCAGTTTGATTTGTGCAGATTTCATTAATGAACAACACCATTAACTACTAAACTGAAATAGTTTGCTATATAAAACAAATCCCACAGGGATAAAAACAGTTATTACTACACTACCGCAAACATCCAAAAGTTTGAAGTGTATTGTGTCCGTAGTGTTTAGAAGAAAGTAGTGCCATACATGTAGTAAACGATCTGCCGAGGACCGACCTCTGGGCACATGGTATGTGACACTTCACACGAGAACACAATTATCTGTCCTGAAAACCCAGATAAGCCTGGAACGTGCAAATCACATCTCGTGTGCTATTCACTAAGAGCAGGATGGCCACATTACAGCAGATATTAATTGGAGTCATCAGCACTGATTCCAATAGTTGATAACATGAAGGGTAATCTCAGTGTCACTACTTGGAGACCTTAAACACTTTTCAAAGAGGATGGAGCCATTACAAGTCTTGCATGTTGCTAGAATTATACGTGTCTTCTATATGATAATTCAGTCTTCCAAGAAATTGAAAGTTGGAATAACTTTGTACTCAAACAATGAGCAGGAAGCGTAAAGAAAACTATTTTCGTTTAGGAATACTTCAAACAAATGTTTTCTGGTAAAAGGAAATTACACTCCTGTCGGTTGGACGAGTGCGCGTCACTAAAGAAACTCTTGAATATTGCCTTTATGAAGCGTCTGGAATGTACAAAAACAGACACTCTGAACGACTTTTACTATGGTCTTTCTTTAGCCACTAGGACAACTTTTTCTTAACAGTCTTTGTAACCGGAAGAGCACAGATACACCTATATAAAAGGTAGACAAGCACCTCACACATCCCTTGAGTATTTGATGAGGAAGCTCCAGGCTTAGTTTGCTGGAAGAACATGGTAATTTTCAGACAATAAGCTTTCTAGAGGAGCATATGTCATTGTACACGAGGAACTAAAAACCATAACTTTAAAGAAAGAAAGAGCTTCCAAATTGTATTTGGTGCTCTATTCAATGTAGTCGAGGGTGTAACCCAGGTTTTTCCGTTGAAGGAACAAGTGGATCTCCCAGAAGGGGGGACGCTGGCGGTCGTTGGGTCTCCAGCATGCGGTCATCATGTCATACATCTCGCGAGGGCAGAGCGGAGGCTGCGGTAACACCATCATGCCAGAGCCGTCACCGTGGTAGCAGTGAGAGATGTTCTCCAGCACGCCATCGTCACTCAGCTCGTCGTAGGGCTGCTGACGGGCCATCGTCAGGATCTCCCACAGCGTCACTCCGAACGCCCACACGTCACTCTTGGTCGAGAACCGGCCCTGGAGGATAGACTCCCATGCCATCCATCTGATGGGCAGGAGAGCTCGGCCTTCACTAAGCCGGTAATAGTCAGTTGAATACAATGGCCTACTCATGCCAAAATCTGATATTTTGATTACTAACTCGTTACCAACCAGACAATTGCGGGCGGCCAAGTCTCGGTGGACCACATTCAGCGCCTCCAAATGCTTCATACCAGAGGCAACTTGAGATGCTATATAAATAAGAGCTCCGTAGCTTAGAACTGGAAGGTCTGCATCATCCACTGGAGACGTGAAGGTGACAGGCATGACTGTTCCGTCACCCTGGTGCTTCCTAAGGAATTGGTAGAGGTCACCACAATTCATGTACTCGAGCAACATACAGAGAGGCTCTGCCCGCGTCACCATCCCCACCAGCTGCACGATGTTGGGATCATCTAGGCGGCTCAAGATCCGAGCTTCTTGGCGGAAATCCTTTTTGGTGGCTTCACTAGCACCTGCCCTGATGCTCTTCATGGCCACCATTTGCGAACCACCAGAGTCCTCAATCTTACACAACTGCACCATGCCAAACTTTCCCTCGCCAAGAGTCTCCAAGATGCGAATGCGCTGTCGAGCCACTTCGGGAACAGGGCGTTCTTTGAGCAAATTGCATCCATCTGCTAAGGCATAAATAACTGAACCAGTCACACCTTGGATGTTGGAAGCATGGCAGAGCTGTGGGGCAGCATAATATTGCTGCTCCGGGGGAGGCGGAATGGGTGGCACAGGCGGCGGCAGGGGCGAATCCTTGCGACCCCTGACCGTTGGAAGCGTGGATGGTGGCCGTGTCAGTGGCACTGGCGGGGGAGGAGCATACACGTCGGAAAATGGTGGTGGAGGCGTCATATTTACATCAGGAACGGCATAGTCAACAGAGTCATCAGTGTCAAGGGGCAGCGGGCACTTGAGGGGTGTCTCTGAGGGCGTGACGTTGTGGCCAAGGGTATAATAACCAGGATTCTGGAGTGGGCCCTTATAAGGCTCCTGATACATGGCTGCTGCCTCCTCCTCCATTGTCACGTGACCGTATAGCTCTCCTTTGGCCCGTGAGTAACCATTAGATGTTGGTGTGAGATTCATGTTTATGTGGAAATCCTTCATTTTCATAGACACTTTCTTTGCATCAACGCTGTTGATGGTAGACGGAGGCGTCTTGCTCTTCTTTGAGAGTCTGTAGCGGTAATAAAGTATGCAGAGAGCAATGGGCACCACGCCAAAGACCACACCTAAAGTGGCCAATCCTCCCACCAGAAGTCCTGATGAGGAGGCCTGGGCAGGCACTACGGAGGTCTGATTCTGTACCTCCAACAGGGACTTCTTTCTTACCGTCTCCGTTGTTAGTACAAGCTCTTCCTCCGTGAGGTTACATGCACATGGAACTGTAGGGGGAAAAAGAGAACATAGCAAGTGAATATTAAGTAGCACTGATAAATAGTTTTTCAGAAACATTGATACTTCATATTGTTACATTTACTATGTATTCAGTAAAACCATCAGTTGAAAAATAAGCAAATCCCAAAGCCCTCAGATCGAGGTCAAATCAAATCGATTAATTTGACCAGACCACACACTAGAAGGTGAAGGGACGACGACGTTTCGGTCGGTCCTGGACCATTCTCAAGTCGATCGACTTGGAATGGTCCAGGACGGACCGAAACGTCGTCGTCCCTTCACTTCTAGTGTGTGGTCTGGTCAAACTACTTCAGCCACGTTATTGTGACTCATCGCCTGCAAATCGATTAGGCTTTGTTATGTTAGACTGTCCTATGTTAAATTAGGCGGGGTTAGTATAGGCTCAGTTGGGTTAGACTATTTTAAAAGTTCGCTGGAAGACTGCCATATGTAGGGAGTGATCGGTATGCATCAAGACAAAGATCTGATATTGGATTGAGGGAAGGAATGACTCCCAACCCCCTAAGACGGTCGGGGATCCATACCCCGACCTGCAAGAAGCGAGGCCGTCGATGTACCAACCAGTCCAAGTGGTTTGAACCGCAACAATAGCATCAGTAACCCTTAAAGACTGACCTGAGTCGAAGGCGACCTCGGAGATGAGGATCCACCTGAGGGAGAAGAAGAGCTGCAGCTTGACGAACTTGGCGGCGGCATTGTGGAGTCTGATGGTGACGTTGCGGGCGTGCTCGAAGATCCGGTCCACCACGTACTCGAACTCAACAGCTGACTGCTCGTGGTAGTGTTCCCCGCCCACGCTGAACAGCACCCTCGCCCTCGAGAACACCTGCCACACACAGAGAACTGGATGAAGAACACCTGCCAGACACAGAGAACTGGGTGAAGAACACCTGCCAGACACACAGAACTGGGTGAAGAACACCTGCCACACACAGAGAACTGGGTGAAGAACACCTGCCACACACAGAACTGGGTGAAGAACACCTGCCAGACACACAGAACTGGGCGAAGAACACCTGCCAGACACAGAACTTGGAGAAGAACACCTGCCAGAGAAAAATGGGTGAAGAACACCTTTCAGAAAGAAATGAGTGAAGAACACCTGCCAAAAAGAGAAAAATCACTGGCAAAGAACACGTACCAGAGAGAGAGAGAGAGAATTGGGTGAAGAACATCTGTCAAAGAAAGAGAACTGGGGTGAACTAGATCCAACACAGCTGGAAAACCCACCTGGGTGTCCTTGGTGAAGAAGTTGTTGGCGTAGATGTGAACAGCGGAGAAGTTCCTGACGGAGTCGAACTCGAAGGTGATCTCAACGGGCTGGGCCTGGCGGGAGTCGTTCTTCCAGCCCACCCACTCGTACCCTGCGCCACGGAGAGGAAGGTATTCAGTGGTGTATAAAACAAAGGAACTATAGTAGTTTCCAAACATATTTGTGATTCCTCTATAGTGACTGACCTATGTTTATCATGAATTTGTACACAAAATAGCGGCGACTGGACGAGAGAAAATGTGAAGGAAATAGGGGTTCACGAGCAGTCACACTGTAGAGCACATTGGTCCTCTGGGGTCCATCTTGTCACCCCGGTCCAACGTGGCACCCCGGTCCAACGTGGCACCCCGGTCCACCGTGGCACTCGTCCACCGTGGCACCCTAAAGCACCGGACACGAGAGGAATTTTTGGAGTCGATATAACGCGTAGAGACTTCTAATGACCGATTGAGATGGAGGTTGGGAGAGAGGAGCAGGGACGGAGAAGAGGTTTGGCACTGACAAGGGAAAGAAATAGTGGAAAGGAAAGGGAGGAAGGATTAAGGTAAAGGACGGAAGAGAGGGGACGAGAGGACAGGAGGCAGGGAAGGAGAAAGAGAAATGACACTTGACAAGGGAAAGGTGTAATGGTTGGAGAAATGGTAATGGTTCCTCTTTCTTGCCCATATATCCAGAAGGCAGCACATGAGAAGGAAGTGAAGGGGCAAAGACCCTCTTCTCCAAATTCTCCTTAGTACGTAGGTAAAAGAAGGAAAAGAATAGGCTCCTCAGTTCTTCTCCTCCCCCCCCCCCCCCCATCCCTTTCTCTCCCATTCTCCCACAGGAGGAAGAGGAGAAAGAAAGGCACATAAAGGGGCAAAAACAGAAGGCAGACCAAGGAAAACGAAAATTTACCATTCCCATCTAACCTTCCTAACTCCCTCCTTTCCCTTTCCACTAGCACAAAGGGACGGTGATGCGGGCCACAAGGAGGAGTTCCCAACCACGAAGAAATGTTGAGTGACCATTTCCCAGCTGGGCGGTGGTGACGTGAGCCGCAGGTAGAGTGGGGGGCGCCGCCCCTGGGGAGGAGCCTGGGCAGGGGGGAGGTAATGGAGGGAGTGAACGATGTTCAGGGGGGAGGAGGATGGAGATGAGGAGGTAGTGGAATGGCAGGAGGAGGAGGAGAGTAAGAGAAAGCAATAAAGGAAGAGGAGGCATAGGAAACAGGAAAAAGAGTTAAGGGAATTAAGAAGGAAGTTGGGGTTGAGGGAAAGCACAGAGAGAGAGAGAGAGAGAGAGAGAGAGAGAGAGAGAGAGAGAGAGAGAGAGAGAGAGAGAGAGAGAGAGAGAGAGAGAGAGAGAGAGAGAGAGAGAAGAGAGAGAAGAGAGAGAGAAGAGAGAAGAGAGAGAGAGAGAGAGAGAGAGAGAGAGAGAGAGAGAGAGAGAGAGAGAGAGGAGAGAGAGAGAGAGAAGAGAGAGAGAGAGAGAGAAGAGAGAGAGAGAGATAAGAGAGAGAGAGAGATAAGAGAGAGAGAGAATTAAGAGTGAGAGTGGAGAGAGAGAGAGAGAGAGAGGAGAGAGAAGAGAGTGAGAGAGGAGAGAGAGAGAGAGAGAGATAAGAGAGAGAGAGAATTAAGAGTGAGAGTGGAGAGAGATCTAAACAAGGTATTGAGAGCTAAGACATCACTAGTGTCCACCACCAGAGAGGCATCAGCTGTCAGACAAAGCGAACTTAATCACCCTATTAGCTACTGTTCGCCTACACCCCTGAAGTCTCTACAAGGTTATACTCTCAAGACGATATACTTTCTCACCAACGCGTTATATCCTCACAGCTGGAAAGCTTAAATCGTTTCAATATTTTGTTAAAAACACTTCGCAATAAAAGTCAACTCACGAAATCTTACAACAAAATTTAAGAAGTATTGAACCTACTTATGGCAATACCCCCCAGTAAATAGGTACCTGGGAGTTAGTCAGCTGTCACGGGCTGCTTCCTGGGGGTGGAGGCCTGGTCGAGGACCGGGCCGCGGGGACACTAAAAAGCCCCGAAATCATCTCAAGATAACCTCAAGATAACCCTTCAAAAAACAAACTCAGAAGTATAAAAATACCCCATCTCTTCCCCTTCAAAATACAAGCTCGGAAATCTATCTGTATTTACACACTAATATACCAACACAATGTAAATGCCTATTATCTCCAAAACAAAGTTTTAACCCCTCATCTTCTCCCAAATAAATTAAGCAACCTGCTTTAAATCTGGGAAAACATATTCCTTCTCAACCAGAAAAATAATAATGATGTACAATACTGAAGAGACACTAGAAGGCTCCTCCAAATACGTAATCCCTTAACATATTTCAAAAGTTATACAAATTTATACAAATAAATGAATTCACATATACATATAAATTAATAAAAAATATTCATAAATTAAAAAGAAAAAGGCACAATAACCATTTTTTTATTAATCGATAAATGCACTGGAAATTTAAATGAAAAACTAAAAAAAAAAAAAAAATGGCCAAATCCTTAAATCCTTTCTTTCTAACTCCCCTTAAATCCCAAAAGCTCTCCCTAGCTCCACAGAGCTCTCACTAATTCCTTTAAGCGATCTTCAAATCTCTCCCTCCCTAGCTCCTAAAAGAACTCCTTAACTTCCCAAAGCTCTCTCTCTCTAACTGCTTATCTCTCTTTCCGTAACTTCTTAACGCTCTTTAAAACTCTACATGTATTTATCGAATTTCTTAAACCTCTCCCAAATCCCAAAAACTTTCCAGAACTCCCCCAATGCTCTTTAGAATTTCCCCAAGCTCTCCACCTCCCCAATGCTCTTTAGAATTTCCCCATGCTCTCCCCACATCCCCAATGCTCTCCAGAATTTTCCCAAGCTCTCTTCACCTCCCCAAAGCTCTTCGGAATTTCCCCAAGCTCTCTCCACCTCCCCAATGCTCTCCAGAACTCCCCAAACTCTCCCCACCTCCCCAAAGCTCTCTAGAATTTCCCTAAGCTCTCCCCACCTCCTAAATGCTCTTCAGAATTTCCCCAAGCTCTCTTCACCTCTCCAGAGCTCTTTAGAATTTCCCCAAGCTCTCCCCACATCCCCAAAGCTCTCTAGAATTTCCCAAGCTCTCTTCACCTCCCCAAAGCTCTTCAGAATTTTCCCAAGCTCTCTCCACCTCCCCAATGCTCTCCAGAATTTTCCTAAGCTCTCCCCACATCCCCAATGCTCTCCAGAATTTCCCTAAGCCCTCCCCACATCCCCAAAGCTCTCCAGAACTCCCCAAACTCTCCCCACCTCCCCAAAGCTCTCTAGAATTTTCCCAAGCTCTCCCCACCTCCCCAAATCTCTCCAGAACTCCCTAAGCTCTCCCCACCTCCCCAAAGCTCTCTAGAATTTCCCAAGCTCTCTCCACCTCTCCAGAGCTCTCCAGAACTCCCCAAACTCTCCCAAAATCAGCCCTGGGAAATCAATAAGGGAGGGTAATAACATTAATCTGGCAGGAATAGATCATTTATCACCGCCCCAACCATTACTGTCGCCGCCCAAATTTATGAACAGGTTATGAGGCCCGGGGTCTGAGGAGTGTGGGCGTGCGGGCGTGAGGGCGTGATGCTGCTCGATAAGGCACGCGGGGGGGGGGGGGGTGTTGTTAGGTGTGAGTACTGGAGGTGTGAGTAGTGTCGGTGAGGTGTGAGGTGAAAGAGAGAGAGAGGAATGGGTTAAAGGTGGTTTCATGGCATCAATGTTGGGTTTTGTATTATTGTAGTGGCCCTGTGATGTGCCTGGTGGCCCTGTGGTGTTCTTGGTGGCCCTGTGATGTGCCTGGTGGCCCTGTGATGTGCCTGGTGGCCCTGTGATGTACCTGGTGGCCCTGTGGTGTTCTTGGTGGCCCTGTGGTGTTCTTGGTGGCCCTGTGGTGTTCTTGGTGGCCCTGTGATGTTCTTGGTGGCCCTGTGGTGTTCTTGGTGTCCCTGTGATGTTCTTGGTGGCCCTGTGATGTGCCTGGTGGCCCTGTGATGTGCCTGGTGGCCCTGTGATGTTCTTGGTGGCCCTGTGATGTGCCTGGTGGCCCTGTGATGTGCCTGGTGGCCCTGTGGTGTTCTTGGTGGCCCTGTGGTGTTCTTGGTGGCCCTGTGGTGTTCTTGGTGGCCCTGTGATGTTCTTGGTGGCCCTGTGATGTGCCTGGTGGCCCTGTGGTGTTCTTGGTGTTCCTGTGATGTTCTTGGTGGCCCTGTGATGTGCCTGGTGGCCCTGTGGTGTTCTTGCTGTTCCTGTGATGTTCTTGGTGTCCCCTGTGATGTGCCTGGTGGCCCTGTGATGTTCTTGGTGTCCCCTGTGATGTGCCTGGTGGCCCTGTGATGTTCTTGGTGTCCCCTGTGATGTGCCTGGTGGCCCTGTGATGTGCCTGGTGGCCCTGTGGTGTTCTTGGTGGCCCTGTGGTGTTCTTGGTGTCCCTGTGATGTTCTTGGTGGCCCTGTGATGTGCCTGGTGGCCCTGTGATGTGCCTGGTGGCCCTGTGGTGTTCTTGGTGGCCCTGTGGTGTTCTTGGTGGCCCTGTGGTGTTCTTGGTGGCCCTGTGGTGTTCTTGGTGGCCCTGTGATGTTCTTGGTGGCCCTGTGATGTTCTTGGTGGCCCTGTGGTGTTCTTGGTGGCCCTGTGGTGTTCTTGGTGGCCCTGTGATGTTCTTGGTGGCCCTGTGATGTGCCTGGTGGCCCTGTGATGTGCCTGGTGGCCCTGTGGTGTTCTTGGTGGCCCTGTGGTGTTCTTGGTGGCCCTGTGGTGTTCTTGGTGGCCCTGTGGTGTTCTTGGTGGCCCTGTGGTGTTCTTGGTGGCCCTGTGGTGTTCTTGGTGGCCCTGTGGTGTTCTTGGTGGCCCTGTGGTGTTCTTGGTGGCCCTGTGGTGTTCTTGGTGGCCCTGTGGTGTTCTTGGTGGCCCTGTGGTGTTCTTGGTGGCCCTGTGGTGTTCTTGGTGTCCCTGTGATGTTCTTGGTGCCCCTGTGATGTTCTTGGTGGCCCTGTGATGTGCCTGGTGGCCCTGTGATGTGCCTGGTGGCCCTGTGGTGTTCTTGGTGGCCCTGTGATGTTCTTGGTGTTCCTGTGATG